ATTTTATAAAAAAATTCACATTTATGATGTACTACTGGATGATGACTGTTGGTTCTGCCGTTCGATTGCACATGCCAGTTTGTCCATTTAGTCCAATTACTCCAATTAGTGTTCTGTCTCACTTTTCTTCCAGCTTTTCCACTAATTGCAGCCGAATTGCGAATTTTTTTTCTAAAATCTGAGTCATACCAATTTTAAAGGGCATTTTCAGCTATCTTCTGATATATGAATTGACTGGATTGGATAAACGGAACATATGGAAATATATATTTTATTTTTTTTTAGTACAAAATTACAGATTTTTGGCTATTTTATCGCCAATACAGATTGATTTCAAGTCATACATCAACGACTGCTACCAAACTCAATTCGATCCGTCAAATGCCTTTTTGAACCCAATTTTTACATTTGTTCATTGTACTTCAAACCATTCAAACTCGTAGTTTTCTACTTTAAATATATTTTTAGTGATTAGAAGTGTGTACAATAAGCATTTCCAACTTGAAATCAATCTATATTGGCAATAAAATAGCCAAAATCTGTAATTTTGTGCTGAAAAAACATAAAATCATGTTTTTACATATGTTTCATCCAATCCAGACAATTCATATATCAGAAGATAGCAATTAGTAAAAAAGCAGGAAGAAAAGTGAGACAGTACACTTATTGGAGAGACGCAGAGACCAGCGAGACGCAGAGAAGCAGAGTGCAGTAAGTACGCGCCAGCTGGATTCGAGGTTGAGGGTGCCGTGTTTCACTAATTCGTTCCCCCGGCCGCCCGATATCTGCGCTCCACTGAACGCTCTTTGTCGTGGTGAGACCCCATTTCCTCCCTCTTTGTCTCCCGTCTCGCTGAGAGTGTTTCGAAGAGAGTCATTCATTCTATTCTTTTGGCCGCCCGACTTGCATGGCCTACCTACTCTCTTCATTTTTTGATTTCCCATCTTCATTTGCTGTTTGTTCAAATCTTTTTGTACATAAAACAAAGTCTAAGTGATCCCAACAACAATAATCTGAGGGGGAAACATTGTTTTGCAAAAAATGAGTTTAAGTAATCACCCGACAACATGATAATGATTTTTACTTGCTCTCGCTGTAAGCGACAAGAGTTCTTAAGTGTGTTTGACATCGCTTCTTCCTTCACTTTTTTACTTCTTCTCCTGCTTTCTTCGAGCAAAGTCTACTCTGGATCTCACGGTTTCATTAGGTTTTCCCGGTTTGACGAGGTTTTCTCATCGAGTCGCATTTTTCCTTTTTTTTCCTGTTTTTACTCAGATTTCCCGCGTTTGGTGTGTTGCTCAATTAGTTTCCCGGTTGATCCAAGGACGGTTCTTTCTCTTCTCTCTTATTCTTAACGATTTGACCTCCTTAATAGTGACTATTCTCCTCTCCTCTTGATTTTTCTGTCAAGGTCAACCATCTGTTGCTTTTTTTCTTTTCACCAAACGGTTTGTCAACGCGACACACTCACTCAAACATCAACGGCGTATTACCAAGAACAGAAGAATATCAAATTTTCTTGGTTTCTTTTTTCTTTATTTGCGTTTACCCTACTGTTCTCTGTGAACAATTGACCCGCCGTGAGCTGCTGTGTTCTCAACCACACATCATTTTTTATTCAACCTGTTCTCCTGCCTTTTTAACTCATCACAACACTTCTCCATCGCTCTCGTCGAGAATATTGATTCATGTGCATCATGAACTGAATAAGGAAGAGTGATGAAACTTCCAATGTTTCTTTTTTTCCATCTTCTTTTTTAAAATCAACGGTTTTTCTTGTTTTTGAATGCGCCTAAAGGGGGCCTATGCAAAAAAAGTTTGCTACATAGATTTTTATACCATCGGATAGAGCTCAACAAATGACATCGAAAATCCTCTTTGAGGTATGGTCGGAAATTCCAAGTTGACCTGTTTTCTTACGTGAAAGGAAATCTCGTTGCTTGGGAACTGTGACTTTGACAGCGTTTATCAGAAAAACGAAGAGTTTTGCGAAAAAGTTGTCAACTAAAAAAATGAAGGAAATTTAATTCTGAATCACTTTGTAGTTGATCATTTTTTGCTCAAGTGTTTCCTTTTCAAGATATAGGCTGATTTCTCCGAAGGTCTCCTCAAAAGCAACGAAATACACACACTCAAGCAACGAAAATAAATTGCGTGAAAAATAATTGAAATTTCCAGTGTTTCCAAGTAACGAGATTTTCTTTCACGTAAGAAAACAGGTCAAAAATGGAATTTCCGACCATACCTCCAAGAGGATTTTCCATGTCATTCGTTGAGCTCTATCCGATGGTAAAAAAACCTTTCTAGCATATTTTTTTTGCATAGGCCTCCTTTAATGTCATATTTATTGAAATCTGTTTTTTTTTCTTCTTAATAATCTAAAAGAGCAAATATTACAGATACGATCGAAAATGAACTCAAAACCTTTATCGTACGATAGCCTCAAATGTGTTCTCTTACATATGGAAGGAAATAAAAGGTAAAACTTCGATTTGAGTCCACTTCAATCAATTTTTTTCCAGAATTGAGGTGTCCCGTCGCTGTCCATCCATCAGAATGACTGAGAAAATAGTTCCTTTACGATTGAACGAACTTGGTTTTCTAAAAAATGGTTTCAAATTGAACAAAACTGAGTATGAGATAGGAATCCACCAGCACTATCATGTTGGAGAAGCACCGAACAGTATTCGCCAGCACAACAAATCGGGCGGATATTCAACGGACTTGGATAGCTTTGGATTGAAAGACGGTCGATTCCGTAACGTTTTGACACCAGGAGACATTCTCATCAAAGAAGACCCATGGGAGGAAAATGATGAACCACTGGAAGAGAGAATCCGAATAATTGAAGAGATCATTTTTGAGAACGGTGATCGAAATTTATTGTTCCGCGGAGATTATGCTCTGAGAAATGAGTTGATCTTCGTGAAGCATCTCCATGAAAATGCTCCAGTTCCATTCGAAAATGTTTTCTGTTTGAAGAGATCGATTCTTATGGGATCTGAGAAAGTTGAATTCTACAAATACAACATGAACTATCATGAGGCAATCAAAAAATTGGCGATGCTTCTGTTCGGAGGAAGGTTGGAGCCAATTGAAGCTAGAAAAGTGATAATTGAACAATCGAAGGTTATTAGGCTGCCCCCAAGCCTGAAAATCAGAAATACCTCACAAATTAATATTATGTTTGAACCAAGAGCCGTATGCGAAGCATTGTCAGAAGTTTTCCAAGAGCCGAATCTTCTTTTGAATCGTGTGCACCTTATTGATCCCCGGATTGAAGATTTGACAACTCCCATTATTCGAAATGCTAAATATATTAATATTTGGCTAGAGTTAGCCCCCTTTCAATACCGAGACGAAGAGATTCTTGAAGTTCTTACAAATGTGGCAAATTTGAAAGCGCACTTCGAAATGCACACAAAGGAATTGACCCTCCAGAATCTTCTCGCCCTTGTACGCCATTGGAAAGAAACAGAAAAACAAATTGGAAGTCTACTTTTCATGATGTTTCGAACAAAGCAGTTGTGCATGGATAGATTCATGGACGTTGCGAAGCAGTTTGATGGAGCGCATTTCATTGAAGAGTAGGCTTTTGTTTCAAGCATAGATCCAAATTTCTGTCTTTTCTCATATAAAGTTTATTTCAGGAACGTTGTCGTCATCCCTCGTTCTATTGACTCCGAAATCAAACTTTCATGGTCACACGGACAATGGCACGACTTCAGGGATGATGATTGGAAACTTGAAATGGAAGTGAAAGCTATTGACCAATAATTGCAAACTGCCTATGAAATCACTAATTCCTCGTTCTTTCCAAACAACTGACGTTAACTGTTTTTGGCCCGTAATCATTGTAATCATAGAATGAAGAGCACAGAAGATAAGAGCACAGAAGAATACTCATCAGCTCTTCCTAATCTTTCAAAACTTGCCTTCTCTTCAGAGACACTCAATTTATATCCACTTGTTTCTTAAATTCTCGGTTGTACTTGAGTTGGATGACCCCCACCAACTTTCAAAACTGGTGGACCTATGAGGGGTCTTAAAAATTCAATAGACACAAGACAGATACCTGAAATTCGGATGAGTTCAAAAATGTCAGTTGAAAATGACACACTGAGAATCTGCTCTTTTTTCGTGAAATTTTTGTTATCTTTTTTCTGAAGCGTATTTTCTCATATATCATTAAACTTTGAAATAAAAAAATCACAAATTTGAAGAGAAAAATGGATCCCTATTGTGTCATTGCAGTTCATTGAAATGTTCTGGTCCATCCAATTTTCACGTGCTCGTCTTGGGTCCCCTTAATTTTTTCACGTCCCTTCTGAGTTTATTCAATTTTTCGACACCTCTCTTGGATAAAACTATTTTGAGAATCGGCTTAGGTTCAACTCAAGTAAAACCAATTTCTTTTCTGAAGATTCGTCCCGATTCTTACTGAAATAATCAAGAAAATTCAAAACCAATGTTTTCTACTATTTTCCTACCCCCTCTTTCATTACTTTCAAAAATTACCTTAAAAATGTTGATCTTTGCAAATTTCTCCTCGCTCAAATTCCTCCCTATTACTTCTCACATGTTTTTTCCTGCTCCCTGTTTTCATTTTTTTGATTTGTGCTAGTGGCGTTGTCCTTCAATCAATCAGTTATCATTATTCTGATATGTTACAAATGAAACAAGTTCTGTTTGTTGACACGAAAGTTTCTAATGACACATCGAGGTTGCTTTGCTGTAAACCCATAAAATAGTTTCTAATAGAATATGAGTTCAAAAACAGTCACGCACTTGTTCTTGAACATTGTCTGTTACAATGTAAAGTAAACTATTTTCCCTTAAGGGTGACTTTTTTTGAGAAAATCAGCTTGGCAATGAGTGAATTTTTAACAAGCATAATTTTTGACAGTTTACAAAATGAGAGCAAAAATGAATACAATAAAAATGTTTGGGAGGAATATCGAAAAATTGAACATCTAATTTCCCAATAAGAAAAAAGAATCTGAAAAGAGCGGAATTTGAACCCACGCCCCCGAGGGGACTGGAATCTTAAACCATTGCCTTGAACCGCTCGGCCATTTCTCTATGTAAAAAAATACAAGTGGTAGGGAAAAGAAGTTTGTGTGCTAGGCGGAAAAGAGGAGGAAAATGTGACTTAGAGGCACGAGAATGTAGGGAGAGAGGAAATGGATCTAAGCGTGTGGTGTCTTACGATAAACCTGAAAAGTCATTCATGATACTGGCAAGGAAGAGTTTCGCAGAGTAGGACAGCTTCACCTCTCTTCACTCCACCTGCTCCTCCCGCACCAAAAAACGGACTTTCCTTATCAAAGTTACTTTGTGCGATTAGCAGATTACAAAGTTGTATGGAGGACAAATTGAACAGCTGTTGAAGGATCGCTTCACCCATGAACGACTGCAGAATCCTCTCTCAGTTCTAAGCTACAAAGAGAGTGAGCCCTGACTAAGTATATTGTTCCACGTCCTCTCCGTGTCGCTTTTGCTAAGTGTTCGGACTTGAAAATGTAGATTTTCTAAATTTTTTTGTCGTGATTTTGGTTTTCTTAATAACCGTGTCCACTTATCTGAATGTTTTTCATTAAAATCATTGTTCGATGGAATAAAAAATTAGGATACTGAAATTTGAGAAACTTATACAAGTAGGATGTATGGGTTGGTAGTTCAAGTTCACCAAGAAGCGAAGCGAGTTCCATTCTGAAACAAAAGGCTCATTATGTGCCGTTTCGTTTTCATTTCGAAGTATTCCAAGAAAAATCACACTGACATGTGAGCACTTAGATATCTATTAGTAACAGGAGAGACGTTACAGACATTATCTGTAACTTTTACTAGCTGATGTTACGTGCAAGTTAAAACAATTGGATTATGACAAGGAATCCGGTTTTGTAGGGTCTCAAAAATGTTTTCTGCAAAATCTGGTAGAAAAAAAAACAAAAAAAAATTAACTTTATATGTTCAAGTATAAAATGAAATCAAGAAAATAGTGTGTAGTACAACTGAATCGTGTAATAGATTATGTTAAAAGGCATTATAGTTTTGGTTGCTTTTTGTCGCCGCTTTTTGTCTTCTCGCCTTTTCGTTTGCGAATCGGCTTTGCATTCACCTCTTCAGCCGTGACAACTTCTGACTCTGAAAATATTAACTCAGTGGGGAATTTATCAAATGTTTGATTTCTCATATGTGAACTCACTCTCTTCAGTGTTTTCTTTGTTGTGAGTCTCCACATCATTGTGAACGCATTCCTTCTTTGGAGTCACGACATTTTCCTTTGAAGGCACGCTTCCCTGCAGAAGTTTTTGAATTCCATCCAATGTCTCGGCTTTGGTTTTGAGAGCACTAATTTCAATATCCTTCGCTTCAACATTTTTTTTAAGAGCGCCAACATTCTCGGAGAGTTCCGTTATTTTTGTATTCAGCTCATTGAGCTGCGTCTTGTGGATATTCTTCATCTCTTCCTTTTCTTTTTTGTATTCCATGGATCCATGTTTGCTTCTCTTCTGCAAAGAGTCGATAGCATTGTTGGCCTCATCCAATCCACATCCGGGTCTCCATCCAAAACTTTTCTTATCCAGCTGACAAGGTCCACGGTCTGAAAAAAATGAGCGTGTATTTATTTTCAAAATTGTTTTAACTTACACTCCATTTGTTCCAATCTTTATTTCCAGAGTCCGGGAGGATCACATCTCTTGTCTTGTACCCCGGATCAGCAATCCTCTCTACATCTCTATCTTGTGATCCCGCATCTTGATCCGGCACTGGTTCCTCCTTGATAGTCGGTGCTACCGATATTGGTCTGCTCTGTGGAGCAGGCACTTGGGGTTGATCGATACGGTATTGAAACATTTCTTCTTGTCGGGACAGAGCTGTCCCATGGGATTGTTGGCGTGCAGGACTTTGCAAATGGACTTGTGGAGGTGAGTGATGCATTCACCGGTCCCCATTGTTTTGAGGCCCCCGGTCGGCTGACGATGGAGATTCCTGCCTACGCTTCCTACTTTTGGCTGAACGGATCTCCTGCTGTTGTTGTCCTTTCCGCTTCGAAGACGAAGAAGATTTCTGATAGAAAGCTTCGTCTTCTTCAGCCATCCTTGCTTTTAAGTACTTTTCTGTAGCCTTAAAAGTTTGCCTCATAGCTGTCTCGAGCGGCATGGACTCCCTTAGGTGGTCAAAATAAGAATCGTCCCGGGTCCGACGTGGTGGTGCAACTGTCACTACCAGGTGCTCGACGCGATTAGTTGAGAGCTGTTGCAATCCGTAGTTGCAATCCGGATCCAGTCAGCCGGTGTGAGCTCGTTGATGACCATTGGCACAACAACTCCAGGAGCAACACCAGATGCATCTGGAAATAATCTGATTGAAATGATTTTCTAATAGTAATTCCAAAAAGTATAATTTATGTGGGAATTCTGCATGGGAACATTGGAAATTGTAGAACTAATTTTTAAATGCAAAATATCTTGACGTAAAACAGGCTTATATTCATTATTTCTGAAAAAAAGCAATATTGGATATGATTTCAGTTTTCCCTATTTCCCAAAAAAATTATTTAACACCAACACCTCTACCTACTTCTATGATCATTAACCTCATCAATTTTGTGAGGCTCTAAAAAATTCAAAGAAAACAAGTGGCATGAGAAAGTCGCCCCCAGATATTCGAATTCCAAAAAAGAAAACTCACCTTTCACTTCAAACATCCATTGAATCGATCCAGAATCGCTCCCTAAATCGTTGTTGAGTGATGTTGGCAACTCTGTTCGGAGTACAGCAGGGGATGGGCGAATAGCAAACAAAGACATAAATTAAAAATAATCAAGAGAAACGGGGGAGGTCAGCCAGTCGGGCGACCAGAGAATACGAATGAATAAGATTCTGTCGAAGAGGGTCCGTCA